AAGGGCCTATGGAGCTGCCATTTACATCAGAGCCGAAATGACTGATCGAACTATCTCAGTTCAGTTACTTTGTTCAAAATCACGCGTCGCTCCACTAAAAACGCAGACAATACCAAGACTTGAGTTATGTGCGGCTTTACTAGGAGCACAATTGGTAGTAAAGGTAAAAAAGGATTTGGAATATGAACATCATCCGATATATATGTGGACTGATTCTGAGATAACATTGCATTGGATCAATTCAGAACCATCAACATTCCAAACTTTCGTTGCTCATCGTATCAGTAAGATTCAGCAATTAACACTAAAGGAACAGTGGAGGCATGTCAATACTAAACAAAATCCAGCTGATTTATTATCCAGAGGTGTAGATCCAATTTACATTCAGAAGAATGCAATGTGGTTTTATGGGCCACTTTTCCTTCATGGAAATCAAGAATGCTGGCCCCAACCATTCCGTCAGGAATTGATAACATCCGACCATATACAAGCGGAAGTCAAAAGGAAGGTACATGTGCTTACAATTTCACATGATGATGAACTAATCAAAATGATTTATACGATAAGGCATGGAAACTCATTCATAAGGTTGCAACGAATTCTTGGCTATGTGTTGAGATTCATCAAAGGGTTACGTAATAAGAGCAAGCACAACGAAATCAATTTGACACCATTAGAACTGGATGAGTCATTACTCATAATTATAAAAGCCATACAGCTAAGTGATTTCAATGAAGAACGACATCAACTCTTAAAGAAAAGGGATCTGAAGGGAAGCAGTAGTCTCCACGGACTTTCTCCATTTATCGATGATAGTGGCGTCATCAGGGTTGGAGGTCGATTGACGTCATCACATCTTACCTACGATGCCAAACACCCCATGCTGCTGCCATATAACGATCCAATAGCTAAGCTCATAATGAAACATTTACATGAGAAGGGACTTCACTGCGGACCGCAAACATTATTAGCCCAGTGCAGGCAGCGATTTTGGCCAATAAAAGGCAAGATTATGGCTCGATCCATTGTGCAACATTGTGTACAATGCACTCGAGTACGCCCACATATGTTCAAACAAATCATGGGCAATCTACCAGCTGACAGAGTCCAAGCTCAAAGACCTTTTTTCAACGCAGGTGTGGACTTCTGTGGTCCCATATGGATACACCACAAAATTAGAGGCAAAAGACCATGCAAAGCGTACATCGCAGTGTTTTGCTGCTTCTCCACGAAGGCAGTACATTTGGAAGTTGTTAGTGATCTCACCACAGATGCATTCTTAGGCGCTTTGAACCGGTTTACGTCAAGAAGAGGTCGATGTCAGAACTTATATTGTGACAACGCGACTAATTTTGTGGGCGCTAAAAATCAAATGAACGAGTTAGCTGAAAGCATTCACAGCACAAATGCTCAAAACAACATAATAAGATCCTGTTCAGCTCAAGGAATTGTTTTTCATTTTATACCTCCGAGAGCACCACATTTCGGAGGATTATGGGAAGCTGCTGTCAAATCAGCTAAATATCTATTGGTGCGAACTATTGGCAACGTGTCACTCACTTACGAGGAATTGGAAACAGTGGTAACCCAAATTGAAAGTATGCTAAACTCCAGACCAATAACACCGTTGTCATCAGACCCAAATGACCCGGCTGCCCTCACACCAGGACACTTCTTAATAGGAGAACCGCTAACAGCCCTTCCAAGTAGGTCAGAAACTACAACCAAACAATCGCTTTTAACCAGGTGGAAGCTGGTGAATCATCTAAAAAACGAGTTCTGGTCAAGATGGTCAAAGGAGTATCTTAATGAGCTACAGTGTCGCACTAAATGGAAGGACCAATCACCTGACGTCAAAGAAGGAATGCTGGTAATCATTCAAGAAGACAACGCTCCTCCGCTTCAATGGCCTCTGGGCAGAATCATCAAATGCTATTCCGGTAATGATGGAAGAATCAGAGTTGTAGATGTCAAAACGAAAAACGGGATTTGGAAGCGTCCAATACATCGGCTAGCACCATTATTGTCGGAAGATTGTTCAACCCCCATGATGCAACTTGATAGATGTGATGAAGAAAAGCCTAAAAAACGAGCAAAACTCAACATCAACTTGCTAGCCATTGCATTGCTGGTACTATTATGGATACCACTGATATCAGGGTTAGGTATCACGATAAAATCATTTAATAACACACCAGGCATTCATTTCGAACACAAAGGAGTCATCAAAAGATCACAAGCAGAATGGAAAATCATAGCATATTATGACTTAAGTCCATTGCAGCAGGAGTTTGAATTTATTGAAAATGGAACCGAATCCTTAGCGAACGTGTGTAAGTTGATGAATGGATATAATCACTGCTGGACGTTAGTTGAACAGTTCAAGGCAGCGAGAAATGAATTGTTATCTGCAAACATAATGCAGATTAACAAAAGAAAGAAGAGAGGCGCAATTGATTTAGTGGGTAACATTGCGAATGCAGTATTCGGCGTTTTGGACTCAGAATACGCTAAAAATATGGCGCAGACGATTCAACAACTAAAAAATGACGACAACCATTTGCTTAACCTTTTAAAAAACCAAACTTCAATTTTAGATTCTACTCTAAATATCATGAAACGAAATCAGCAGCAGTATCAAACAACCTTTGAATTAACAGTCGAGCGATTGAACGATGTAAAGGCAAAAATGTTAGAAGAGGACAAGGAAATTTATAATTTAAAACTCCACCAACTTTTCACTGCGATTTCAACTCAACTATTAAGTGTAACAACAAGTATTCAATTTTACGAATCAGCAATTTTAGGAGTGTTGACCGACACAAATCATGGTAAAATCAGTCCACTTCTCCTGACGCCAAAGCAACTCATGAATGAGGTTACTACAATGAGGGAACATCTCAGGTCAACAATGCAGTTGCCGGTTAACATGAGCAACATTTCTGAGCTATATTCTCTTATGACAGTCAGCAGCGGTTTATTTGATACCAAAATGTTGTTTCAAATAACTCTACCACTAATCAATGATCAGTCCTTTGATTTATTTGTTGTTATTCCCGTTCCAGGGATCATAAACGGAGAATATGTGACAATCACACCATGCACGTCTATGATGGCATTCAATACTCATAGGAATGGATACTTTCCGATTTCAGAAATACAGTTGTCACAATGTGTGTCTTCAAAAAATGATGTCTTCATCTGTTCAGATACACAAGAAATATATTCTCTTGAATCAGGCAAGTGCACTTGCGAAGTAAATCTATTTAATAATAGTACATCATCTTGCACTTGGCAAAGTTTCACAAGTAATACCTTATGGATCCAGGCTGTTGCACAAAATCAATGGATGTTCGTCGCAAGAAACCCTGTAAAGCTAAACGCAGTATGTGACAATGAGCATTCTCAGGTGAAATTGCAAAATACAGGTTTACTTGAGCTCCCACCAGGGTGCATACTCTCACATCATACGGCAACAATAACCAGCCATTACACAATGACTACTCGCTTAAAATATTCCCACACAAGCTTCCATTCAAGCCCAATAGGGACAGCGATTCCTCGGCAATCATCTCTAAAGTTGAAAAACATCAGCATGGAGACAGCTAATGATGAAATAACTAGTTTGAAGGCATCTTTAAATATGATAAGGTCTCAGGAAGAACTGCCGAACAATACACTATCGCAGCACCAACACCATTTCATTGTGGAATATATGGCACTTGGTCTCAGCGTGCTCATATTCTGCAGCATAATCGGTCGATATTTATTCCGAAGAAATACACACCGTCACAGGATTGGTACACCCCACCCACAACCACGAAGACGAATTCAAGAGCAACATGCAATGTCCGAGTTCGAAGTAGCAGAATAGGATTGACTGGCGTCAATCGGGGGCAGAATGTCCAATTTGGACATAATAATGATCAGCCTAAATCTTGTATTTTAAATAATATATTTTAAATTATATATTTCATATTAATAATATTCTATTATTTTTGTTTTGTTGTCAAAGCAAATTTTTATTCTCATAATGTTAATGACTTGATGTCTTAGCCTTGAACGGTGGGTTAAGATATCAAAATTTATCATAACAACAACAACAGTTGTATATCACACGAGCACACTTTGCTCGTCATATGAAACTGCAGATAAGCCATGCATTTAGCATGTGCAATTCTTTAATATAGAACATTATGAGAAATTAAATTTGCTTGTGCAAGGTCAGTATTGTACTTATTAAATAATAATTATGTTTGTAAAGCAAGCTGGTATATGGACTTAGTTCAAGGTTAAAAGGAAATAAGTTTATAAGCATATACCAGGTTGCTAAGGAAATTACGCAAGTAATATTCTTTTTTGTCAATGCATACAATTTCCATGAGAACTGTGACCGTTCCCACAACTATGCTGAGCGATACCTAATCGCTACTTTAATGCAGCTTAAGTTATAGCGCATTATCGTGGGAATTGTATGCATTAACACCTTGCCAAATGTGTATAAAAACTCAACATTTTTCTAATAAATTTATCATTCAATACAGAACAGCCCTTGCGTTTTAATTAGTTCAAGTGCTTATTAAAACTCAATTGCAAATAGGTTCATGTGCCTAGTTGCTCAAAAAATATTGTTATTGTTTGAATCCACCTGAAGTTGGTTTAAGTGCCAAATTCAGACCTTGCAATAGGAACTGGTTCAAGTGCCAGATTCCTAATCATAAGCAACACTGAATCGATTCATGTGTCGATTCAGTTTCAATAAGAAACGACTTATTGAACAATGTGATCTGATGATTTAAATATAAATAAATAAATCTACCTAAAATCTATAAAATTTGTATAAATTTTTTTTATAGAATTTCCAAATATAAAAAGAAAGTAATTATACATTATATCCTATATAGGCAATGTTAAAATAGACAATTACTTCAATTACTTCATTTTTGAAATTAAACTGCATTTTATATGAAATAATTTATAAATTCATAGTTTCATTTAATTACCTATTTCAACATCCGTGGTATCCGACAATTCATTTTAAATGAACTTTTATAAAACCGTTTTAATAATTTACATATTAATCTGAAAGAAAAAATAAATCGATATTAATATTTAGCATTAATATATTTTTTAAAGAAGAATTTAAAAAATCAAATCAGAATGGATGTGCTTCATTTAACAATCAAATGATGGGGAATCCGAAAAAAACTCATCATGTGAACATATAAAATAAAGCATATATGAAATTAATTCTTACCTTCTTGCATACTAATACTTCTAGAAGATTTAAAGTTGTCCTTATAAGTGCTGAAAAAAAAAACAAAAATTTTTTTTAAATATTATATTAAAAAATAAATTAAGTAAATAAATTTATAACAATTGAAATTTTATATTAATATTTAGCATTAATAATTTTTTTAAAGAAGAATTTAAAAAATCAAATCAGAATGGATGTGCTTCATTTAACAATCAAATGATGGGGAATCCGAAAAAAACTCATCATGTGAACATATAAAATAAAGCATATATAAAAATTAATTCTTACCTTCTTGCATATCAATACTTCTAGAAGATTTCAAGTTGTCGTTATAAGTGCTGAAAAAAAACAAACATTTTCTTTTAATATTATATTAAAAAATAAATTAAGTAAATAAGTTTATAACAATTAAAATTTTTACAACCAATAACAAGACATACTAATGCAGGAAAATGTCAAAAATTAGTTTCTCTTTTGTGATAAAAGCAAAAACTTGTTATTGATTATAAAGAATTTTTTGAAAAATCAGTACTAAATAAGCTATTTCATATATGTATCATAGCGTCGGATTGAGAGTATCATCACATAAAAATGTATAAGCAAAAAATAATTATAATACATTCTAAAAATTTACACATACCGTATAAATATAGATTAGCCAGTATTTCACCAATTGAAAATTTCGATCACTTAAATATCAATTAGAGAAGTACTCATTCTCAACATTTGCAATAAGATTACGATTAGTTCATTGTACATATCCGCATTATCTGTAAAATATAAATGATATATGTTAATAAACAATTTAACAATGAAATTATTAAAAATTTTTTTTT